ACTAGCTGCAGAAGCACAGTGATATGGTTAAGCATGATATCTTCGATTCTAGACTAAAATGGCTATTACTGACACGGAGACATGCTTTGCATTCTTCTGCTTTTACAGTTCCTAATAATCTTACTGCAAATCTATGGTCTATGACAACTGTATTATATTTTAACCCTTGTAATTCAGTAGCCAGGTAACTCAGGTAATCAAACAACCTACTTGGAAGAGTTCTTCTCTTGGGTAATAGAATGTGCATGTATTTAAAACACTGGCACATAAGACATCTTTTCTCACTGTAACAGAGAAGTAACTTCCCAAGTAAACACAGCAATAAGGCTTTGAAGAGGTAGAGCAGCAAGACAAAAGCTATTTAGTTGTTAGCCAGAGTACATGAGTGCACTAGGAGAGGAATTAAGATTTTAAATGCAGTGGGAATAAGTAAAAAAAAAAAAAAAAAAAAAAAGTCCATAACTCAAAGAAGTACTCACGTGTCTTTTCAAGCACGTGAGCAATTCCATTAAACTAATCTGCTTTAATTGCATTAAGCTCAGAGAGCCTACTCATATGTTTAAACTCAAACATAAGATTAATTATTTCCTTAAATAGAAGTCAAGAAGCCCAGTCAAGAAGAATGGATAGCGCAAACAAATGTGTATATGCATTTAAATTTTTCAAGATATTTGATTCAGCATTCTATAATGTAAAACATTCAAATTAGCTTTTTGGTGGAAAATGTGTTCCACGGATGCAAAAAAAAACAACTCAGAAAGCTGCATCTGAATTAGTAGATTAAATTATTTTGCTGAGAGTCAATAGCTAATCAGCTAATAAAATGTTCAAATATAATCAATCGATCACAACTAAGTGAAACAGCTCATATTCTATAAATTTGTATTCAATATGCTTCAGAAAACAGTGTAAAAAGCATGTTCTTAAGTCAATTCAAAAAATAAATAGGAGCGTGTCATAATTCCTTGCTCATCTCTTACCAGCAAATTCTTCTTGGAGAGTTGAAGTTTATATTTCTTTAAAAAATAAAAAACAACAACAAAAAAAGGCATGCCCACACCTGTCTCTATCTCTGAAACTAAAATGAAATGGTCAGGAAGATGTCTGATATCTTCGTTACAAGAAGCAACATCTGAAGCTGAAAAGGTCAACCAGTCCATAATGTACTGTACTTTATTCTGGGCAGAACGTGAATTGGGCAGATGATGAATTAATTAATTTTATGATAAAAAGGAAATGTTGTTAACACCTTGCTGTTCTGTTTTGGCTTTTAAGCACAAAGTTTGGTGGAAGCTGCCTTCAGAGCTGAGCACTGGCTCACCCTGGTGCATGTTCTGTAGCCACATTTGAGTCAGCATTTGAGAGGACTTGTTGCCATATGGAAAATCAGAAACAATTACTCTAAATAATTACATCAGTTTATTGTTGTCTGTTGCCAAGAGAAACAAGTCCTTGTTGGTAATATCCACTGGTGTTGCCAAAGAAATTAATCTTTAGGGAAACCAAATACGCTCCAGAACTAGCACTTCTCTAACAATAAATATCCTTTCTAACTCATATCATCATGGCTCATAACTGCATCTCTGTTCAGACAATTTGCTAAGGTAATCTCTGCTCAGTTTGGGACTGACAGCCTCAGAGGTGTGAGTTATCACACCTTACTTGAGAGTGTGCAGGCTGTCTGAGCAGGAGCTGGGCAATCTTGGCTTCCCTCAGGTTCACTGGGGAGAAATCAGAACTTTTAGGGCAAGTGGCTTGAACAGATGAGATGAATTGCACCCGGCTATCCATCCATCAGGGAGTGCAGGTGGGGGCGGAGGTGTCTGCTTTGCTGAGCTCTAAAGCTTGGGGAGATGAGCCCAGGTCAGGCACTCTCCCGCCAAGGCTGCCGGCAGGAGTGGAAGTCGGTCCTCGTTGGGGTGATTAAACTCTTCCTTTGGCAGGAAAGTCTGGCAAGAGGCAATCCTGATGATGGGCCTTTTCTGTAAAACCTGGAGGCTCGGGTTTTCAGACCTGTATGCCTATGACTGCTGATCATTGGAACTGAACAGCTGCTGCAGGGGTGAGGTCTCTTAAATGCTTGAAGGCAGCTACAAATATTGGCCTGAGTCACCAAGGAGAGGCAGCTGGTACCTCTCTCACACTCCTGTCACAGGCACTTTCGTCAGTCTCCAACTAGTTTTGCTATTCCTTTCAGCTCATTACCACTTGTAACCTTCAAAACCCCTCTGTTTAAGTACTATCATCGAAACCATTGCAGACAGAAACTTCGTGTTTCTTATTGTGCTTTCCACTCAAATTTCATTCCAGCCTGAAAATAATGCATTGAAATCTCTCCTTTTTATTCCATAATAACTTTATTAGATTGAGCAGGTTTCCCCTGCATAGCTCCTTGCACTGCATTTCTCATTTTCTTTATTCTGTCTTTTGCTTCTTTTGCATTCTGAGACCATGAACACAGCCCTAAAAAATCCCCTTCTGCTCTACGAAACACTTCACTACAGCAAAGAATTATGATATGGTGACAATGTGGTTTCTTGTCTCACCAAAATCACATTGTGCCATTTAAATTTAGATGTGTTTCCAAGAAGTGTTTGATAAATTCTTTCTAACATATTCCCAGTTTTCTCCATAGCTAATGTCAAGCCAACGGCACTATCCAGATGGGATGCCTGACAGGCCTTTATTTAAGGCTCATCTTACACATAGCAGTCTGTGGTCTTCAGTGATTTGTCCCTAAGCCAATTGCACTTGTTGATTCAAAAACTACCTTGTAGCCCTTGCTGACAGTGACTTGACAGAAACTACAGAGCTTATTGTGTTTTTCTGATTTCTCTCTGCTCTCTGTCACTGATTCATTTTGCTGTGCTTATTCACTCTCACATGTTAACAACCTCTAATCAACATCTAGGGTTCTTTAGTGGTTGGAGGCATTTTCATCTCACTATGAAAAACATTTCCCAAGCAGCTGTCAGAGCAGAAACCGCTTTTGTTTTGTTCTCTTCCTTTTTGGAAAACAGTACAATGGACGGATGATTTTACACTAGACACATAAACTTCTCACCTGTATAAAGAGTACCAAGGACAAGAAATCTAGTGTTATAAAGCCTTAATGTTTAACTTTATTCAACAGACAGGCCAGCTACTTCTCCATGACATCCTCTGTACATAAATATCAGCCTGTCTCACTGCTGCATTGAATCAGGTTATAAACACTTTTTAGGATCAGATTTGGACAGCTATTTATGTTGTTCTCATTTCAGATTTCTTCAGAGGGCTTATTTCTGTAATGACATTTACACAATTAATTCCATGATCATTTTCATATATATCTTCTCATTATTTATTATTTTTCTCCACTACCATCATTATTGTTAGGTCAAAACCTAAAACTATGCTTTACAAATACTTAGTACATAACTCACATTTTCACTATAGAGCTCCACTGTTCCCAATCTATAGCTGATAATATTTACACTGAGTATATACTCCCAATTAAATGCATTTTGCCTTATTCCTAGCTCAACCATCCTTAAACTGTTTTACTTTTGTATACATACATAGCTTAAAAAAAATAATATATATATATTATGTATATATATATAGTAGTATGCTACTATATATATATAGTAGCATACACCTTGTGTTGAATCAACTCTGCTTTATAATACAAGTAAGGAAATATCTATAATACAAGTAAGGAAATATCTAAGTACATAGAGATACCAGTGTAGCTATTTATGGAGGTTGTTCCCTTATTTTATGATTCTAATAGTGGATACAAATTGGCATTGACAATACACAGTTATTTGTTTCCTAAGGTTCTATATTTCCTTTGTATTTCTGAAGGTCACAGGGACTCAGCTGAACCTGAAACAGTAATTTTAATTCCAAGTCTTTTCATTTCACTACTATATAATTATCTTATAGATTTTTGTGTAGACTTATTTACTGTTTTTCTTTTCCTGTTGGATAAGTATACAGTAACTAAACTAACTTCAATTAGGTAACTGTCACCAATATTGAAAATTTAATGGCATTTTAAAAATTACATTAGTAATCGAAGCATAAAAATGATTCTTTGTGACCTCATTTCAGAGCAGAAGTACCAAAGCTTACCACACAATAGTCTGTGACTCAGAAATATTAAACACAGACCATTGTCCCATTTTTATTCTGAGTAACACACTCCTTGAGTTATAAACAGTATATTATGTGTTTGGACTAAAATGTCTTTAGGAGATACAAGATGCAAAATGGAATATTCAGCACTTTAAATTCAATATACTAAGTGATCTTCTCAGTTACCCATATATTATCCTATACGTTTTTTTAGAAATCAGAATTGTCCTTGTGTATTCAGATGCAGTAATGTGTCTACATTAAATTTCCCCTCTAGTGCCGATACCATAGTATTTAAAAGCCAATGCACTCTCAGAGAGGCCAACATCCCTCGAGGTTCAAAGCACCTTGATATAAAGACACACTTGAATTTAAGAACGCATTTAAATCCAGCATAAGTCTCTGTGCTTTGCATTATCAAGAGAGTCTTAAAGATAAGCATATGCCTAAATATTTTGCTGAACTGGAACTAGAAACAAGGTTTATCCTGTGAAAGAGTGGAATAGTTGCAACACCCAAGTACAGATTAATAATGTTCTGGGGGATTTATCTTTGAAAATAGCAGGGAGAGGAAAGTCTCCATAAATAAAAAGGAAAATCATGAATCAGCAAATTCTGGAAACTATAATAAGCAGGAAAACAATTTAGCTCACAGTGAACCATAGGCTTCATCCTATACAGCATTTGGCTTTCATAAAATATATTAACTGGCTACATTCAAGAGAATGATATGTTGCCTTCAACTTCATTTGCATTTTACTAAAGAGGAATGATATCAGTGTTCTGGGAGAAGTCCATGATTCATGTCCTTACGATATGACATTGCTAGTGTGAGATTATTAACTTGTTATAATAGAATTTGAATATGAAAAACTTACTTGAAGGCATTGGCATCTCCATGCACCTTATAGTTGTCTGCACTGATTCTTGAGATAACTCTTGTGACAGCGATGAGAATACCAATATTGACCTGAAGAAGAAGAAGGAACAAGACTTGGTCAAGAAACCAAACACCAAATGTCAGAGATGCAAACTTGTACTGTGTGTTCTGTGCAAATAAACAGAAAATAGCAATTTTGACTGTTGTATTTATTGGCAAAAAAAGGCCTCCAACTTTGGACTGGTACCCTCCATTGCCTGTGGATTTCTCTGTTCTGAAAGTGAGTAGCTCTTCCACTTTGTGTGATTTTTTTTTACTTCTGGAACAGCTTGCCTCTTTAGGATAAAGCTGGACTGAAACATTGATTCACAACTGAAGTGCTCAGGATCTACTCTACAAATAAATATCCTTGTATCTATCAGCATCTGACAAATTAGACAAGAACTTCAGTGAACAGCAGTATATATCTGTGTGATCTTTGGTATTGTGTTTGCATGTGCACAGGCTTCAGAAAACACTTCTCTCAGACTTATAGCCTTTACAGTGTATAATTCATGTTTCTTACCAAAGTCTGCTTGCAATTTAAGCATGAGATTATTTTAAACCAGCAATGAGGAAAATATGTTAAGCCTGAACTCTTCTCTTCAAAAGCTCTATTCTTTTTTATGTCAGGCCCAGCAGAAACATCAACAAAATGAAAAGAACTCCCACCAGAAATCTAGGAAATCTTGAAAAGAGTAATGCTGAAAGGTGCAACAAAAGAAAGTTTGCTCTGGAGTCACAGGTGAAGAAGTAAAGAAAACTTTATCATTTTACGGAGATGTGGCAAAGACCATCTTGTTTTGCAGAGACCTTGGGTTTAAAGAAAACAGAGAGGGGGAGAATGTGAAGGTGAAAGACATATTTCTCCCTTTCTGTCCAAAGTTACATATCAGCTACAAAGCTGATATTTATCATCGAGTTAAGTACAAAGGAAAAACAAAGCTGTCTTGAACTAAAGAACGTAAAGAAAGAAGAATTCAATATAGTACTATTGCTTAGTTAAAACTCAAGAATCGTAATCTATTTTAACATAAATGTTATAATTTTGGGAGGAGAGGGGTTGAGCTAAAGAATGTTTAACTTGGTAATAATCATTCTCATACCATTTTTCAAATCTTACAATTCTTTAAATTTTAGATTCCTAAGGGTAGGTCATCACCTACTGTAAAGTATAAGGGTAGCTGTGATAGTTCATTTCTGCCACAGCTTTTTAGCCCATCCAAAGAATTCTCTGTGGAACCAAAAAACTTTTCAATTACAAGTGTACTCGTTCAATTGGTTTTACAGAGATTAGTAAGAAATGAAATTCAATAGTCTTGAGGTCATTTTCCCTATTCCCAGCAAATCATATCTTGAAAATATTTTTAAGGCAGTAACAAGCTTTCCTGAGAAACCCATTTATGTGCTAAATATGTGCGTTGGCTGAAGGAGCAAATGATGAATATGAACAAGTTACATTTCTCTTTCACTTCTCTCTTTTACTTGTCCTCCGAACTCTAATTTTTGCTGCATGTCCACCAAACAATCATCTTCAGTGCAGCTTTTCATGAGGATTTCACAAGAAATGCCTCTCTATACCCTTCACTTCTTTCCTGACATATTATCTTTCATCAGCCTTGTTTAGTCTTTTATCTAAAATATCGGTTTCCTCTACTGACATTTCTTCGCAGATGTCTCACAGACAGCACAAGTTCAACTTGGTACAGTTGCTGCATGAACCCTTTTTCTGATAACTGCAAACAGCATGCTCCTTGCAACCTCACAAGCACTTAACTCCAGCTCTTTATTCCATTCCTAATTCTTTTTACACAGATTTTCCTAGATTTTACTTTCTGCATAGCATTTTTAAAACTATGCATATTGTGCATATGTAATGTGTTTTAAAATACTAAGAAAATAAATTGCAGTGAAGTCAAGACTCCTCATTCCTTACATTCTGAAGTCCCTACATCTTACCAAAGTCAATGAAAGTTATAAATAACAAGCACCAAAAAAGGCATACTCAGAGTCTTGCAAACTATCAGACTGGACATGAACCCTTGGATGTTGTCATCAGAACACGACAAGATAGCCTTTAAGGACACAGAAACTATATAGTTTGCTAAAGCAAAAATTAAGCATTTTTAGCTGAGTATTAATTTATTATAAAAAAAAAAAAAAAAAAGAGAGAGAGAGAAAGAGAGGGAAAGAGAGATTGGAAATTAATTTCCTTTATATTTTGGATTGTCTAAAGCTGTAATTTAAGAAGGCCTTGAGCACCTCTTGCAGCCTGTGTAATCATATCATATCCAGGGTGCTTTAGTTACATGTTTATAAGATGAGAAGGAAGGACTGTGATCTGTCTGCTGATAAAGATAAGGCACTTGTAAAATTAGCAACCAGCCCTTACACTCAGGTCCCAAAGTTCTATGTTTAAATTTCCTAAGCCACTTGAAAATTTTTGTTTAGGTATTTTGAGAAATTAGAGTAATCTCTTGCAGCCTAAATAAACAGATTAGCTATGAATGTCTTCTTTTGTTAATGTTTCAGTAATCAAAGCATGGAGGTATTTCCATTGTCCTTGTAATGGGAAACCAAAATATAGCCACTGAATTGCTCCTCTAGTGATTTTTTGGCATCTGAAATAAATACTTAGCCAATTACTTTAATAGAGGGATTCTTAGTTGATGAAACACTCATTATGTTTTAGCATATATCAGAACATTCAAAGTAGGAGAATAAACATTTAGATAAAAGAAATGTATATAGCTCATATTTCTTACTTTCCTGAAAGGCCAGATTGCCTGACAGTTGCAGTTATTTTGCCCTAAAAGTACACAAGAACATACACAGATTTATTTTTTTTTTTCTTGTAGGCACTGACCACATTTTATTTTTCAAAAAAAATATGGCTAATAACAATAGTACATTTCCTAACTCACAGGACTCCTTTCAAGGCAGCTGGTCTGACCTCAGGCACTGGCAGCTCTGCAAAATCTGAAGGAGCTGCCAGTTCCCCTTATGGTAGGCTTGAGGCAAAGCCCACTAGAGCCCATGGAAAGGTTCCAGTGACATCAGGGAGCTCTGGCTTACCCTGGGGACAACTTCACCTGATTAAATATTGTCAGATCAGGCGAAGAGTTAAATGCATAAAACAAACCTCTTTTATATGTATACTTCTTTTCAATATTTCTTTGGATTAGATTTTTGAACATGGAAAAACACAAAGAGCATGAGCTAAACTTTGATTTCTTGACCATACAGTCCTGCTTAGAGGAGCAGAGAGATGAAAAAAATTAAAAAGGTTTGACCTGCAAGAACTGTCTACAATTGCAACACCTAATTCTATAGCCTTTTGTCAACTGACCCGGTAGGATTTGACCCAGTCTCCCTGTAAGAGCAGAATTAATACAGCTATCAGGGACATTTGCCACAGAGGTGCAGAAATGCATCTTTAATTCTAGGTTAGGTTGGTTAGCTTTTCAAAGAGTTGCCTTGCTGTCTTTGAGTTTTTTACAAAGCTGGAATAGAAATAGTGAGACAAATTCTTTCCCTCAAGAAAAAAAAACCTCAGCTCTTCAAACCTGAGCTTTAACATATTCTCCAATGGTGTGAGTTAATTTTATCCTAATCATGACATCACTAGTAGCACACCAACCCTCCAAGCTGTTGGAGTTGCAGCCCATTGCTAGGTCACATCATTATGCATTTCCATACACAGAGATTCAATTAAATTAGAATGATGCTCAAAACTGGGGGAATGGTTTTGGAAAGCCTGATGCCACTCCCAGCTATCCCAGACCAATTACAGACTGAACAGGCTACACTGAGTTATTTTGGATTTCTTGTGCATGGCTTCATGTTAATGCATACAACATTGCTCCAATCAGAGCTTAATAGCAAAGTAAACCTTTGAGGCTGGAAAGAAATACACAACAAAATAAATACTAAATAAAAGATGGGACAGATCCTTGACTTATAGTTTTTTCTGATACTAATCCCTCATTTTTAATTTCTTAGAATCTGTCCCATCATTCTAAAAAGCATTTCATGACTTTCTGTTTGTAAACTGATAAGAAATTTAATTTTAAAATAATGAATACATTCAATTTTAAAATAATAAAATCACTTATAACTGAGTGCTAATAAGAAAAATAAAGAAACTTTGCTACTGTGATCTGTGCATTTGTGCTCTATTCTACCACAGCACTTAAGTATGTACTTGATTTCAATGCCTGAAAAATCCTACTGTTTCAACACCTTCAAATATTATGGGTCAAATCCATCACCTCTTCCATGATGAATGATGTCTAATAAAGGACACGTATTGCCACTTTTAAATCAGTGGGCCTACCTGCAGAGTAAAATACTATTCAACATACAAAATTAGCTTAATTCTGCACAGGTACATAAAGGTATGAATAAATACCATCAGGCCAACGGAACTTACTAAATCAGGTATGAGCAGCAGGTATAAAGAGAGCAAATCTTTTTCTGTATATTTAATATTCATAAACAAGCATCAGTTGAAGCCAGCAATGGTAGTCTCAGCCTAGGATCCAAATTCATGAAGCCCCATCTGAAGACACTGGTTACAAAGCTGGTGTCCCCACAGCACAGAATTGCTTCAGCAGTATGCTAATTACAATCATTTAGCTCCATAAAAAATCTGTTTATTAGAAGGACTTGTGAAAAAGCACCAGGAAAATAACAACTTACAGGAAAAACAATAGAAGGAACTTGCCACTACAGCCCAGTCTTCCCCCAACAATGGATTGTTCCCTGTCTGTAGCACACCCACTGCTCTGTGTACACAGATGCTTTCAGCAGAATTTCCTTAATTCTGCCATATCTATGGAAACACACCAAAGTAGCAGATGGTCGAGAACAAACAAAGCCTTCTGCCAGAAGCTTTTACTGTCTTGTTCCAAAAATTCAGGTGCTTTGTCAGGTTTTGTTTTTGCTTTTTTTTTTTTTTTTCTTTGAAGACGTGTTTTCCTAGGCCAATATTGGCTGAGATGAGGTTCGTTTCCAAATTAAATGCAACAATTTTCTTGTGAAGTTGCTGTATGAGATTTGGGTGTTGTGGCTGGGAACAGGGGAGTTGGGGGTGGAGAGTGATCCTTAAACCTTAAGGTGCGGGTAGAAGCCAAAAGACCTACACGTAGAAGGATCTATTTCTTTCCTCAAACTCCAAAGGAAAAAAACACTTTTGGTACAGGAATCCATATAGGGCTGGGAGGTTCTGCGAACTACTCCCCAGAAAAGTATGTGTGAGTATTTTTTCCCAGTCACACTCCTACCACATCACTCTGTGTTAAGTCTCCATGATGTCTGTAGTGACTGTGAGGCTGGTGCAGGACAAAGCAGACCGAGTCTGCCTAGTCTCAAGGGAGTAGGAATTGAAAGGAGCAGTCCCCCTGTTTTCTGCACAGCATAATCCTTTTACTTGGCAGAGAGAAACTGGATGAGAGTAGTCAAAAATGCTTTTTGAGGCTTATTTTCAAAGCTAAACACTGGTTCAAACAAGTAGTGGCTAATTTTCTACTTAAAGAGCCCAGGCACACATGCATGCACAAAATAGTGTTTAGCTTTGTTATTTCCCTAAAGGCGCTAACATATTTTTCAGCTAGCATATTCAATGCCCAGAGAAAATAATTTGTCAGCCAGCTTGCTGCTATTTTGGGCAAAGCTGGGTTTAGACTATTTAACAAATTGCTCTACACGGATCAACCTTGTGAGCTCATTCTTTCTCTTTCACAAAATATTTGTATCCCTACAAGAATATAACTTGAGCTGCACAAATAATATATCTGAGAGCCAGACAGTTAAACCTGTACTTTCATAGCAAGCAGCTACACATACAATTTGTTAAAGGCTGTGCTCCCTCAGGTGAGTAAGTGCTTCACTATCTAGCATGTTTTGATTAATACTATCTTTGAACAGCAGCTGGGAGAGATTTGATTTTTCTGGTTGCATCTCATTTCCTCCTTTGCAGCTGAACAATGGCCAGAAAGCAAGTGCTAATGTGAGAAGGAGATGTTCAAATATTACGGTATGGTAGTTGCTGTCCAATCATCAGTATCTACGTGTCTTTGAATATAAGCTTACAGAAGGTCAAAGGTACAGGCCAACAAGAAATTAAGCTTGGAGGAACAAAGTCCAGAGCTGTTTAGCCAACTCTAATCCAATGATAAGTGTTCCTTATTTGCATGTATATGATTTCACTTAGGTTAAAAAGAATAAATAAAAATCTGCCCTTATTGCACAGCGACTCTCCAGTGTTGCCATTAATCATTTGATTAAAATGTTAACATGAGGTAATTTCTGCCACATCAATATAGCAACAGTTTTCATTGTTTTTATATATGTTTATACAGCCTAATTTTTCAGAGGCTGTATCTTGGGTGGAAGATGCTGGGCTGTGAGAGCTGCTGATTTTGAAGTCTCAAGGCAAATGTTAGGGTGTCAACTCGGCTGCAGCACAAAATTGCTTGTGATGGCACAGGCCAGCCAAGGAGCTACCTCCTGCTTCGTGAATGGTTGCAGAGATGTTCAGCGGCAAACACAAGTGCTCAGTGTAGTTCTATATGTATAGCTCTCCTTCCTTTCTTTGGCTTGCAGATATATTTCTGCTAGCAGGATTTGTGGGGTTTCTCTATGCAGAGAAATTTGGGGATGTGTCTATGCTGTCTCTCTTGGGGAAGTACAAGGCAGCATCACTGGCTCCCTTTGATGTTCCTCCATGCAAGTAGCCAGGATCTTATTTTATCTGACCCTCCTACAATGCCACAGCAGGCACAGACTCTGGTCTAGATTTCAGCTCATGCTTCAGATCTAGCAAAGCTTTAAAGGCAGCCTAATTTCTTTAATCAGTAGGTCTATTCCATGTTCGTGTTGTCACTCTGACATTACAACCTGCAGCAAAAAACGTAGACAACCTGATCAATTATAGTATCGGAAACAGTGCTGTAGAGGAATAATCTCCCACTTAATTCCTGCAAAGACCCCTGACTCCTCAAGTGATAGTCATGATTAAACCACAACTCACTGTAATTTAATGTGTGGCCATAATTAAACTGCTGTGGAACATTTACATCTCAGCATCACAGCCGAAAACCTGCATGCTCCCCAGAGAAGTAACATCCATTGTAGCTGACAGAGGTGTCTGCAGCAGCACCTGATCCCCTGCCAACCTGCCTTAGCCCTGCCTCGATCAGCCAAACTGCCCACCCAACGTTGAATTCCCAATACAGAGGAAGAGCACAAAGTCCTCTTCACTGTAAGAAGGCAAATGTGGAAACTGCTTGTTACCTTCCCCAGAGCTTGCCCAAGGGGTCGTAGCTCATGCTGTTGCTTAAACCCATCCCTGCCAACTGCTTGCTGCTTGCAGTCCCTGCTGAACATCATCTTCACTAGGAGCACTCAGCTTTCCCTGAGAAAAGTGAGCTCTCCACAAGCAACAGCTCCAAATATCAGTGGGATGGAATCAGCTTCTCAACTTCTACAGGTGTATATGAAACAAAACACTGAGCTTCATCTTTCGGGGGCCTTTCTGAGATCTAATATACCCCCCAAGATTACTCAGTTCTGGGCAGCTATTAATGGCCCCAACAGGGCTTTTTCAAAAGAAGGCTGCTACAGTATTTTAGGTTGCATTTTATTTTTGGAATAGTGAAAAGAATAGTGTGAGAATTAATATGCATCAACCAATACACAACCTAGTAAAACACAAAAATTGGAGCAGGAATAAAACAATTCTGGACTATTCACCCTATCATTCAGTAAGTTTCACTGGCCTGGCACAAAGATTGACATCAGACCTCCAGCTGAGCTCTGCTAGGTGGCTGACATCCATCCAATATGAAACAGGAGCCATGGGTTTACCTACCAGAATTACAAACAATGCCGGTGCCACAAAAGCCCAGATTGCTCCATTCTCTAGTGAAAGCCAGCAGCTGCAGAGAAAAATAGAATGATTTTAGGTGAAACACATGGTCATTTAAATAGTAATGTTCTTAATTTAAAAAGAGACTAAGAGTGCAAAAACACACGTGAATTTTGAAAGCAGGAGACATGATAGGGCATCAGTAAGAAGCTCCTTTTCCCCTCAGACTCTGAAGCAGGATCTCATTGTGATTTGTGTCTTGCATAGAGTCAGTGACAGCTATGTGCCCCAGCATGCCTTCAAATAGTATTAGGGGTGGAAAGACAGGAAAGAAAGGAAAGGTTTTCTTTGCTGTTTGTTGCTCCTGTATCCTGTATCACAGACACTTCTTTCAGTGCTGTGAGCACTGTCATTGTAATGAGAGAAAAATGTAAGCCCTTCCTGCTTTGCCTAGCTGGGGGTAAGGAAGAAGGCTGGAAAACATGCTGTCGGCTTGATGCTTCTTTCTTACAGTGGTAGGGGTATAAACTAGTTTACCGCACACAACAAATAACCCTGGTTCCCAAACGTTCACTTATATTGTGGTAGGATTGAATCCTATGGTATTTTCTCAGATATTTTCTGCTTTTCCTTTTCCAACATAGAATTGGACTTTTTTATTTGATTTTATTTAACAATATCCATTCTAGATCTACAGATGCTTAACTGCAGTTTTCTTCTAAAGGTTAAAAATCTTTTATCAAAGATTATTCTCACCTTGTCAGAAATGCTTCAGTCCCTGCTTTACTCTGTGCGTGGGGTAAGCAGAGCTCACACTGAGTGCCCATTGTAGGAGGCAGTGACCTCTACAAGCAGGCAACCTCCCCTGCTCCTCGGCAGCGAGGTACAGCCCTTCTAAAAGATCTATGCGTTTTCCTCCCCACCACACTTTTCATCCTTATTGCACCTGGAATGAAACCATTTTCATACTCACTTGTCATTTTCTCCATAGCTGTCTAGGGATGATGTTGTGGAAATTACACAGATCACCAATGGGCACCCTGTGAAAAGACAAAGTTGGAAGCAACATTAGTAACAAAAGTGCAACTTCCAGTAAACCCTGCAAATTCAGCTAAATTTGCATGGACAACAGAACAGCTCGGAGCGATTTTATAATTAAGTCTAACTCAACATCCTTCTGCAGCTTTGTACTACAATATGTTTTAATCAATTAATTTTGGACAAACAAAATGACTTTTCAATAAAGCACTAGTTTAACAGGTTAACTGAATTAGTGCTAGTTTCTCTGAGAATTAGAGTCCTTTTCCAGCCTTTTTTTTTTTTAATGTAATTTCTCTCTCCTGCTATTTGAGCAGTGAGATCCTGTGGAGCAGCATCAAGTTTATTTTTACCACTTTCCCCCAAGTAAGTGCACCTTGCTCAAGAATAAGGAAACAAACTAGGAAATGGAGATGAATTTCTCACAGGGGTGCATGACTAGCAGGCAAGAAGGTAGAAATGGTGACATTCAGTTGTCTAGAGCATCACACGCAGCAGTGAGAGACAATTATGAATAGAGCAAAGCAAATCAAGATCCCACTCAGATGCCCAACCAAGATTTATTTAAATATAAATATGTAATAGCCCTGCAAGATTTCCGTGCTTAAAGTGGACATTTCCATATGGGTTCTGACAGTTCCAGTACGCAGCATCCTGGGAGGTGGAAGAGTGCTTTATGGGATTACATGGGAATTATACAAAGGCAGATAATTATGGTCCTGCTGCCAGGGGTAGTGGCATGCTGCTGGCCCTCAGTACCATGGTATCCTGTTGTGCCACTTTGGCACAGCTTTCCAGGCCAGGAGCTGGAAAAGAAGCGAGGTTTTTTTTTGCCAACAGTTCTGAACATAGTGCAACATCATCCCTTTAAATACTAAATGATTGTCTGTTAATTCCTGTATGATCTAATAAAACTTGAAGGTTTGGGTTTTTATCATCTTATGGAATTTAATAACCAGGTCCCAGACAGAGTATTATACACAATAGCTTGAAGTTTCAATTTTCTTTTAAATTCTTCAGGGTTTCTGCACAAGGTTTATACAAAATTATCTGACAAGTAATTTCTGCTTAATCTTACTAATTATACTCATAATCTTGTTAATTATCTTTGTAAAATTCTGCAAAACTTTCCTGTAATGGGAGAACTATAATTTTTGGAAGAAGTATTTTAGTTCTTTAATGACTGTGGATACAAACACCTTATATTTATAAAATGAGAAAGGTGCTCAATAATTAAGAAGCAGCACCTACAGGTATTGCTTAGTTGTCCTAGTTTGGAATACATTCTGCAGGGCCGCGTTTAACAATCCCAGAACTTGATTGTGCTCTCACATACTTGTACAAATTAGGAATAACCCATTAGAAGCATATTTGTGTAAAAACTAAGCAAAGGCAAGATTTAAGTTCACTATTACATCTGTCTATTTAAGAAAGGAAAATCCCATATATATCTGAACAAAATCAGCAATAATCATATTCAACAGAGCAATAACACATTGACATAAACCCATCTGCTGAAGCTCTCTTTGCTGTGGCTATTTGAACTACCCTGGCTCTCAGGTATGCCTGCATCTATGATTCTCAATCAGATCTCCAATTGCTGAGCAGAGACAACCTTGTTGATTGGCACTGTTTTTCTTCTGATGCCAGTTGTCTTCCTTTAGCAAGCAAGCTCTACCTACATGTCACAGAAGCAAAAACATTTGTGCCCGACTAACTCTCCTTTATATTTCTAGTCTGCCAAAAGTTGGAAATTCAAAGGATTTAGTGCGATTCTTTGTCAATTTTAAATGGCAGTGAAGAAGAAAATTAAATGCAAAGTTCCTTTGGAAGATAATAAAACTTATGACATAGAGCAGTCATCTGCATAAAAAGATGTGTTAAGCCAGTGATAGTAAAATTTCGTGCACCTAAAGTGCAGCATTTGCTTTCTCTTTGCATTGACAGGATATTAAATGGTAGATGGCATTGGAAGCAGCATCAAGGTTTTGTTACAGTGAAATTGAAGTATTTTTCCTTTAAGAAACAATCATTCCATAAATTCCAGGAAGGCTGAAAAAAAATGAGTTTAGCCTAAGGGGATCATAAGATTTATTTTGGACTGAAGAAATAATATGGATTATATATTATACACAAAAGTAAATGTATTTGCTTAATCTTTTGGCAGTAATAATTGCATAAGAGCTGTAAAGTTTAGTCTACCCCCATAACAGGTAATGTTAATGGTGTGCTGGCGCTGGTTATAATCCATGAAAGAATTATGGTTATGGTTCTTCACTGTATCTGAATGTTTTCTCAGTTAGCAGATGCTACAAATATGCTCACCAACTCTATCCACAATCACCAAATTTATGATGCAATAGACTGTGCATTCCAGAGCACAGTATCGGATGAAAATGTTGCAGTACACCTTTCTGGCAGCTGAGCTATGGCAGTGGTGTCATCTGTGTCTCTGTAGTCCCAGCACAATACGGAGTCACACTGAAATGGGGCAAAACATCCTACACACATCCCTGTGCTGCTGCAGCATGAGTTCTCCAGGTCCCCAAGCCAACTAATTTAAAGCTACCTTGCAAACCCAGCATCAAAATGCAGCCTGCAGAGTAGGCATAAACTCTGAATAGCTGGGCACAGGAAGCTCAATAACACATCCTTTTTCAGACAGAATTCTCTGTAAATTTAGCCCAAATACAGTCTGAAGTGCAAAGCCTAAAATGAACATCAGACAGGTTACCAGTTTCCCTCCTCTTCTTTGCATTAAACTTTATATCTAATCCATTTTGCTTTACATTTCTGAGGCCCTAATGGTAAATAAAATAGAAAATGCCTGTAAATCTGTGAGCTGTGTTTTGAAAGCTTCTGTATCATCTATACATAGGAAAAAAAAAAAAAAAAAAAAAAAAAAACAAACAAACAAACAAACAAACAAACAGACGGGCTTTAGAAACTCTGAGGCAGACAGTTTGAAACAAGCAATTTTAAGACATTAATTCTGCAATGCTATATATGCAATTTATAGAGAAAATGAAGATTAGACACTAATGAAAATATGTTTCTTTCCAACACTGAAAAGATCTATTTTACTTGATGGGGAAAAGTATATTCTCCCATCTGTTTTGTAGAAGTTAATTTTGTATGATTTTCTTTTCTTTTGCTATATTATACCTTATCTATGGAGAAGTCTACGATGACAGCAAATAACAAAGCTTAGATCTTTGCCAGCTTGGAACAAAATCTCCATTCTAAGGTACTCCCCAAAGGAAAAGAAATCGTCACGAATAGGTAAACAGGTTAAGGTCAAAGAGCTACAACAGAATCTCCAGTATCACAAACTATATCATCAGCATCCTGCAGATGGGTGGGTGGGTAACATATTATTATGATAATCTGTGTGGGTTATGGTGAATCACCAAGGCAACAGTATTTTTTTTTTCCAATCAATCTCAAGGTACTTAAGATAGTTTTAAAGGTAGAATATTATCACCTTCCTCAAATTTCTCTTCTTTTGAATTACAACTGCAGTCTTTAATGCAATTTCAGCAACCTTGGGACTAAAGATAATACCCACAACGTCAATCAGCATACGTATTTGGTATCCTGTCTCTCTGATTACTGTTGAATTCATTTTACAGGAGTAATAACCCTCAGAAATCTCAGCAGATATTAGCAGATCAGTGATGGTCAGTGCGGAGTTCGTTGTTCCCATCTCCTGTCAACTTGTGCCTCAAGTTTCAACTTGTTATTTAATAGAGACTCTGCAAATTTTTATATATGTACACAGAACAGATCTTCTGCTTAAATAAGAACAATGTGTCTGGGTTTTTAAATTCAGTACTGGAGTTTGATATTATTCCAGGAACTATGAGTTTGCAAAATTTAAATGTATTCACATTTCAAATAAAAGAATGAAAAAATGAACTATCTGTTTTGACTAACATGAGATGAGACATCCTTGTCTCCAATTTCTTTCCACCTTTTTTTGGTCAGTGCAAGAATTAGCCAATCCAAACTGTAAAAAAAACGTCCATTTTTATTAGATACTGCAATATGTATATCTGTTACAGTCTCAGGATGGCACAAGAATGCTTGACTTTTGACAGCTGTATTCAAGACAAATTTACCCTAATTTTTACAGCCAAACAAAATAATCTTGAGACGATTTTGTTAGTCTTGTTCCCCAGACTTGCAGAACTTAATATGTGGAAATTTTATGGGATTTATATGTAAATTCTCTCTACTGTACTTTCATCAAGATCATGAAGGAGCAACCCAAAACTCTACTCAGTAGAGCACGAGCACATACTGCTGCTGAAAGCGGTACTGATACTTGATCTCTAATTAAACATTTCTGTTTGTATTCAGAGTAAATGTACTAACAAGAGAGAAAGCTGGGGACTGACAATAAAAAGAACTTATCAGTGCAGTGAGAGCTCCCTCCCCTGCTCCTCCTATTGATTTGCTAATTTAGGATCTGATCTGGCCTAGTGACATCAAAGAATTTACTGCAGTGGGATTAGGTTTAGGGACTATATGTATTAACATTTGATTAAGACCAATTCTCAGTAAGGCAAACTCAGATCATAAGATCACTCTTTTACATATGCTTCTGAATATAATCTTGTCCGATGGTGAAGAAAATAAAAGCAAACAGCTCCTAAATGCTTACCCCATCCAATTCCGTAATAATATAAATGCTTGCTCTCTTCTGACCCAAATACTTTGATCACCATACTGTAGAGATGAAATCCTTCCACCAGCATCCATGCAAAAGCACTCAGAAAGAAAAAATGAAGGAGAATGGCCAAGATCTTGCAAGGCAGCTAGATTAAGAACAACAACAACAAAACATATTACTTCTTTGTGATGGTTTCATATTGGTTTTGCAATTGTTTCTTTTTATATTTATGCTAAATCACTGGTGTAAAACATTCTTAAAGAAAAAAGCACTAGAGGACTACTTTTCCAGAGCATTTTGAGATAGATTCAGAGTAAAAAATCCTTTTACCTTATCACAAACAACAACAAAAATCCATTGCCAGACATGCTGTGGAAAGCAAAACTGATTGCTTATTTGTGCATAAAGGATACTATTACTAAAGTACATACAATATTTAAAAATTAGAAATTTGCAGATTCAACACCTGCTGCTGAGTTTGTAGTAAACAAGAAAATGAGACAAGTGAAGGTATAGACACTGTGATGTACTCTGCTTCCTCTTCTATGATGTTCTTCATATTAAAAATAGGATAACACACAGGTTAAATCACATTGCATTCTAGTGTCTGTCTGTCCGGGTTAAAAATTCTGTACAAGTTTCTTATGCTCCTCTATTAGCAACACTGATAAAAAATTTAAAAAATTACAGCAAGCTATAATTAGCTCTCAATTCCTATGGTGGTCATCTAGGTTGCCTTCCTGCTTGAATTCTCAGTTACTGAGTCTGAAATATGCACCTGCTGTATGCAAAGCTGTATTTGACAAGAACACACTTAGCGATTAAGGCAAAGAACTGAAATTCTTCTCCGTAGGGTCCTTACAGACAGTTCAAATCCTCTGTGATAGACTTTTGGAGCACTATATGCCTGCCATCAAGATTCTGGCAATAGGAGCTAGTAGAGAAGTTTAATCAAAAGAAAAATACCATCAAGAAAGTAAGCCTACCCAGTGGAAACTGGACTATCTGCTTCAGTGTAAACTACTACATGTTTGAAATGAAATAAATGCTGCCCCAAAAGAGAGAGGAATGCCATGCCAAAGGCAATGCAGACAGAAGTAAAAATGTCCTCCTGAGTCCTGCTTACAGCCTTACTACAGCCTGCTTTGGAAACGCAGCCTGGGCCTGAGGCCTAGCTTTTCCTTAAGGGCTGTCATAGCAGCTCTCCACAGTTAATCTTCAAAGAAATCCTTTCGAAGAGATCCTTACATCTCTTACAAGTCTCTTATCAGTCTACCTTATAAAACAGTGAAAACTAACCCTTTCTTCTTCCCCACTCCTCACATATTCACACAGCACATTCTCCTTTCCCCCACTAATTGCTTTTCGAGGATGTCTCACCACAAGTGGTTTCCCTCATCATACAGTAATTGAACAGATGTGACTGCCAATGATCTTACCACACGACAACATTATTTGGTTTGCTTTCAGTTAAGGTACATTTTAAACATGTTCTTGGAATGTGTCCCAGCTTTATTTGATTTTTGCGGCTGGTAGCATACTGATGGTGGTCATTCTGCTTTGTAGCTGTAACATCCCTACTATGACACCTCCACAATTTTGGAGGAGTTGCTTGCTTGTGGTCCATAGAAAGATTCTTTTGTCTTCTTCAAGGATTTCCTTTCTCACCTGAACAAGTCACAGTAAGCTAACCAGTCCGGGGGAGCCTGTGTGCTGAGGAAGCATTACCAGCAGAAACCAGTTTGTTGCCATAGTGGTCTTCAAGGTACTAATCAGTAGCTTCCTTTGATGGTTTAGTTTAGCTGGTCTGTGGTGGCATTTTTTTTTTCTTTTTGTTGATAGTTTGGTACTTTGTAGGCTACTGAAAATTAAAACGTTGGAATTTTGCTAGTATAATAAAAATTGAGGCCTTCCAGTAAATTCTCAATTTTACTCAGCTAGTTCTGTGCTAGTAGAGGGACATTCTGATGCAAATCCCCTGTGATTACATGTATTAAAAAGCAATAACTTTAGTTTAAATTCATGTAAGTGAGATCTGTAAGTGCTTTAGTATTTCAAAAGGTTTGGTAACATAAAACTAAACCAGATTTGCTTATTGACAAAAACAGTAAAAACATTTCCAGTTAATTTCTTCATATGGCCATGAAATCTATTTTAATTCCTTTTGATTTCTACCAAAAGATTAGTCCACAAAAATATAAATGCAACATAAAGATGACTTGCAAGCTGCTCTTGTCAAATGGATACTTTCAATTTTTTTGAGTAGCCAAGCAATACACATCACAAAACACCAGAAAAATAAAAATAAGCACAGTTGCAGGAGGCTGGTCTGTACATAATTTTGCATAATACTCATTCCACATTTATGCCTTACTTACTACTTTGAAAACATTCTCAAATGACAAAATTACCTTCTTGAAAGAGGCATTGCAAAGCCGAGACAATGCACATTAAAAACAACTAGGTGACTATCATAGGATGCATGCTACGTATAGTAGGATACTTATAGAAAGACAGATCTTACTGCTGTTATTCCTACACTTGACTAATTGTGAGTCTGTGGAAATAGAAAAATCAGTCCAGCTAGTAGCAAAGCCTGTCATGCTATAGTTGTTGAGAAAGTAAAGCAGTCTCTCAGAAATGCCTCTAAGAAAATAATATTAATTTGTTCATTGAGGACAGTCTTAAAAGCAGGTAGGTAAATTTTCTTGTATTTTCTAAATCCAATTTCTAAGTGTTTTCATTTTGAGTTGCAATTTTATTGCATTTTTAAAAAGCACACTGAAAATGTCCTTCCCTGCAGTCTATATGCTATGCTGATACACAGTCTTGAAATTCTAGAGATATCTATAACACAAACAAAAGAAGTTCATTTTGTTTCTCCAACTACTGATATTAGGAATCAAGAATTTCTATTAAAAAAAAAAAAAAAGTTCCTGAATGTGTTAGGAAGATCAAGATCCTATTGTGGAAGTTGAGTTTTGTGGTTAGTAAGTTAAACATTGATCCAAAAGGAAAAATGCAGTAGTATAAATTGCAAATGATTAAAGAATACATCTGAAATTACAGGAAAATACTGCATGCTATATCTGGAATCAAAACCTAAATATCCCTAGAAATAGAGATGGCAAAAGATGGAGAGTCTAAAGGCAGTCACGTAAGAAAATGATGTGAGCTCAAGGTCTGTTTATCCAATGCCATTCCTTATTGTACTGGATTTCCTCAAGCAGACTGGTAGCACCTGTCCTCTCAAGCAGAGCACTTATAAACTGTTTAGCACTAAATATACCCACCTTTGGCAGAAGGAGAAGATTAAATACACCTTCTAGCATACATACTGCCTCCCTCTTTTTGTAAACTACCATTTAGCGGTCCAATTACAGCAGCAATTAAAGGTATTAAAACTGATGTCCAAGCTAGTGAGAACAGAGCATTCAGAAACAAGTACACAAGACTAATAAAAGGATGGATCACAACACTCCTGATCCCTAGAGGTTATAACAATAAAAATAAAAGTGCAGCGGATACATACTTCATGCTTTTCAGCTTCAAGATCTTTACAGTATTGTGCCATACAATTATTGCTGTTACAGAGGAGATAAGGCTGAAATATCCAGGGACTCTCTGAAACGTTTAACTTTGGAAAGCCTATTGCATAAAAAGGCTTGCTTTCTGTGAGCCATGGTTTTAAAGGAGAAAAAGTATTCATAGTGGTAAACATAGTGGCCAATTCACACCAAAATATAATCACATGGAAAAGATCACTGGTTGGAGAACCAGCCCCTTTGGATGTAAATAAAGGCAGGCTCAGAGAGCTTCCAATTATGGTTTCCCTATGGGTAAACATATAAGAAATTAATACAAGTTTTGATGTTACATGAATTTACCTACACCACTTCCAAAAGAAGTACCTGATACCTTTTGTCTGGTTTCATAAAAAATAATTTCAATATAAGTGAAGTCAGTTTTGAAGAGGTTTAAGAGACATTAAAAAATGCACCTGTTAAACTGCAACATAAGTCAATGTGAGTGCTTCACAAGCTTAGCTACCTGTTCTCAACTGAACAAGCGAATGTCAGTGTAAACAGGGCATGCTATAAATGCAGGTGGACCCTGGGATAGGACTCTGAAGAATATGAGCTCTACCAATATCCAACTAAAAGCAGGAAATGCAACTAGTACTTTGTAGTATTTAAAAAGGCTGGAGGTGATGCAGGCTTGATAAGGTGTAAAGAAGCTTTTACAGCTTATCAGAAGTGGTTCAGCTGGATTGTTTGAAAATCTGGATTGGCTACAAAAAGAGAAACTGTGAGAATAAAACACCTCTTATGCCCAGGGAACATTTATTGCCCTCCAACCTATGTTCTTTCAGCAGAATGTTAGCTCTATACTTACTTAGAGAGGATTATTTTAATACCTGGTTTACTTTGTCTTCAGGTTTAGGTTGCATCCTTTGTTGTTCTCCACTGTCTCAATTTCATCTTTCATATAAACCATTTCCTATTATTTTCCCCCTTACACATTATCTTAACTCAGGACCTACCTGGATGTTAGGGTTGTTCATACCTGGAGGAGTACGAACTTACATAGAGTTTGTACATCCTCATGTAATAATAGCCTATGTAAAAGCAGACATTGTTTATAAACTTAACAGAAGCTCAAGGTATCCCATTTGAGATGAATATAAATTTAAGTAGCTATTGTATTGGTAAAATTAAAAGTATGCAAACTTCTTACTTACTGGTACTAAGAATGAGAATAAGAAAAGATTAGTAGAAACTCCTTTTTACTTGTCCAAAATAATATGGTGCAACAGCTGACCAGAGAAGCAGCCAAGTTTTGCCAATTACACAAACAGAACATGCTGGAAGATTATTTGAAAATCAGTTTTTGTTTCTGCCTTTTTCAAGTGGGACATTACATCAACAGATCTTATGTGATTTAAAATAGCATTTTTTATTCCTATTTTTTAACAGTGGAAACAAATCATTTTCACTAGTGTGTAATACAATTACCTTGGCATACTCATCTTAATTGAGTCTAATTAATGTTTTAGGTGCCAATTCTGATGGTTTAGACCATGGCACTCTGCGTAAGAATTCCCACCTACGATAGATCTATAAAATCAGTCTGTAATTTAAAGTTCAGGTCATCATGATATGGCAGAAAATGCCTAAACTTGCTTAAAGCTTAAGTTCCAGGTAAGCAATATGAACATGTATGTCATTTGCTTAAATAGTTGCCCGAGTTGCTTAGGAAGTATACATGTGCTTTGCAGTACTGAGGATCTTGGTTTAAACTCTTAACAAAACCTAGAGGCAATGCTTTCTGCCACCTCTGGCTAAGTAAGCAATGCTTACCGTACCTTTCTCACTGATTATGACTCAGGTCAAATAAACATGAATGATATTTTAAAAATATCTGAATTTCCAGAGTAGAGATCATGAACAATAAATTGCTATTCAAAACAATAGCATATTCTACCACATAAACAAAACTTCATGAATAACAACAACAAAAAGACCTTCTGTTTTGCAGACCAAGAAAGCAGAATAAATTTTGAGTTTCACCAGGAAGCTCATTACCTACCAGCAAGAATAAGATGACTTTTTAAAATGAAGAAAAAAAAAGGGGTTGGGGTGGGGGTGGGGGAGGAAAGAAAGAAAGAAAAATCAATCACCTAACAGAAATACAAATGAACTACCACCCTACCTAAATACAAAATTCATACAACCTTCTCCAATACAGAATTGTTTTGCAAACAGACGTGGACAGATACTATTATAACAATACTGAACTCACAGAAAGCTTTATCCAGGTTGTGAAATGGCATTTTTGGCGAAGGCATGTTAAAAATGGGAGATCTCACCTGCAACAGACACTTTCTTGCATGCAGCATTCATACCATGCAGATGCCTTGCAAAAACACAGCCATTCTCTGTCTTGCACTTACCGTTCCAGGGCTGAACTGAAAACTGGTGAGAAGCAGGATCTGAGCTACCAGAACAGCAAAGGACAGATTCGCATGGATATGATAGCGCTGGTTGCGGATGGTGCTCACAGACCTGGCAGAAGACAGAAATACACTTTAAGACGGTATTCCAAGAAACATGAACACATCATTTATGATTTATCAGAAAGCATTTTGTTTGGCTTTTGGTCTCTTGCCCTGGTGGGGTTATCACAATGTCTTCTCAGCACTTTTTCTGCCAGAACTGACTGGTATCTACCTGGTTTCTTGTTTACTCTGCAACCATTCTGAAGGCAGCAGCAATCTGATTTTCACATTAACTCTGCTAATGACTTGTGATGGAATATTAGCAAAGGGCTTGATTCTGAATGGTGCTGAGCTGTCAAGGAGGGACATCAGATCTGCACTTCACAGAAAACATTCAGCACCTTGCACCATCTAGCCCAGACTGTCCCACAAAGTTTCCATTTGTATTTTGTTGAGATTTGCCTGTATTCAAAATAAGTGAACTTGAAATGGATATTTTTGACTTTACCAGTGCCACTTCTTAGCACAAGAAATATAGCTGCTTACACATATGGGCAATGCCCGTCTTGATGGAGCACTGACCATGATTACAACATTATATGAACCTTGTCTCTCTTGTCTTTACAAAAGCTGGCAGGAAATCTGACAAGGACATGGTTTCCTCGCAGCCTTCTGACCTTTTGCTTCTGTACTCATCCAGAAATAGGAAGTAAAAACCAAAAACATATATCTGAACATTTCAGGCCTTTTGCATAATTTTATTATTTTCTTTAAAATATAGAACAGTGGTAATGACTACAAGTTTTCTCTTTCAACCCATGCTGCCTGCCAGTCCCTACTGGCAGTTTTAATTGTTTTGGGAGACCTGGACCGTTTGGCTGCGTGAATGGCAGTGCTTCCTCTGCACAACAGTACCCACTCCCATCTTTCACTGCATCACGCTGCACTGTGATGATTTTTACAACAGCTGGTGATACATTGTGCACGAGCCCTTCAGCAGGATGACACAGAGTCGATGATGCAGATGATGGCTTGCTATCATCCCTGCTCTTCCAGTGCTGTTTCTGCCAGAGTTCCATTAGAAGGGAGTGAAGAGGGAGTCTAAAAAACGCATCAATGTCCCAAAAGTAACCCAGAGACAGGTTGCACTGCTTGGTGCCAGTGGCTTTCTAACAAGGAGCTTCATGTGGTTACAAACTGGAGCGTCATTGCCCAGAAGGCAATCAGGACTGCCCCCCTGAGAAGCAGCGGTCCTTGCCAGGGTGCAGAGTAGCAAAAAACTTGCCAGATTCCTCTCCACTTACCTCATGATCAGCTAACGCTGCATTGCAAAATCTCACTTCAGCTGTCTAATGAGGCCCCGCTCTCCAGTGAAAACCTAATCAAATTATTTTTTTATTGGCAGTTTGAATGATTCTGTATATAGGTGGGGTGCTTAACACTGTGATAGTCAGCTGGGTCCAAACTCTCTTTCCAAGTGTGCTGTTTGCCTCCAATTTCTCAAGGAGTTTTCAGCCCAGCTGCAGCAGTATCAGCTTCTTTTGCTCATTTTCCTTTCTAAACACTCTAACAATAAGTTTTGTGCTCAAGACAAAAATGGAGCAGATCATTCCCCTTAGCCTAAGTATGTCAATAGCGCAATGCCAGATAGGCAGACATCGGACTTGTTTAGATTGGATTTTGCCACACATTGCACACTTAATCCAAGTATGACCAACACAGATCTTGAGACTTGGAAATAAGTCTTTTGGAATAAACAAACATTGCAATCAGTTTATTGGGTTTCAGCAAACCCTTTTTCCTAGAAACTGGCCTCTTAACAGGACATTCAAAAGACAAGTTTAGGCACAGAAATCAAAACTTGAACTCCTGAGTAGGAAGAACACGGTTTAGTGCTTAACAAGAAAGGAGACAGGAATCACATTCCTTGTTAAGATCCCAATCTGCTGCGCAATCTTGGATGAGTTATTTCACCCCTTGTCAGATTTTCTATTTTTTAAACAGAAACCTCTATAAAAGCTTTTTTTTTTTTTTTCTTTTTTTTTTTTTTCCAGAAATGTTTGTATCAAGCCTAGCTGGGCCTCAAACTCAGCTGTCACTACTGGAACATAAACAGGCAAAGAGGCTGTAAGTGCCCACAGCAAAAACCTTCCCAGTGCAGAAAGCACAGCAAAGGGGTTGCTGTATAACAGGTGTGAGGATGCAGGGATCTAGAGGATTTAAACACGAGAGAGAGTGAATTTCACACTTCCTATAGTGTCCTTCATCCTCCTAAAGGAACACATTAGTAAACTCACCCAACAGAGAACAGAAAGATACTTGAAAATAAATGTGGGTTATATGATGCAGTTGTAGCCAATCCTTACAAAACAGAAATGAGGCATCTAATGTTGACTGAGCCTTCCTGTCCAGGCACACCTACATGGCTTATAAATATACTGCCTTACAGAAAAGATGGTTGCAAAGCAGAAAGAAGTACTGCTCGTTTCACTCCGAGCAATTCCAAGAAATATCTAGTGGGGAGAGTGGGTGTGATCCTGCAGTCCTTGCTGATAGCCTTGAGCTCCTGATCAAACACTCTACAGCCTCCTCGCAAGATTCCTGAATTATAGCAAAACATGGACATTAAAAAAAAAAAAAAATTAAAAAATCTAAAAATGCCACATAGCATGGAAATAGCTTGCTATATAGAGACCACTCCATTTCGGGAAATTAAAGTAATTAAGAAATAACCAACCATTACAAATACATGTGCAGGATCTAATTAAGGAAGGTTGTAGAATTAATAGCCTTTGTTTTATTCTGAGCACCTAAAGGGATCCAAATCAGTGGCTTGAAATGCATTGTTCGGCTTTTCTGCATCAAAGTTCTCAGCAGGTATTAGGTTAAAATCACTCACGACAACACAGCAAATGTGACCAGCGTGATCGTCAAGCAGAAGATGGACAGAGCACAGCCGATGTAAGTGATGGAGGAGAGGGCCACCTGGTGTTCTCTCGTTAGCTGTACACAAATGAGAAGGAAAAAAACAAACAAACAAAAAAACAACCACTATTAGTTGATTTGTTACATTACAGAACCATAGGTCAGCCGCCCTGCACGTAGCTTTTCCTCTTCCCTTGTCCCCATACATAAGGGGTTCATGATCATTCACTGCTGTGTCTGATGTGCAAAATGAAGAGCTGTCTGAACTGTCAGTCGCACAGCCAGGGCATCCACATGCCTGTGGCATTTTGGTTCCCTCTTGCACTTCATAAGTCAGTATTTCCTCAAAACAAGTTAGCTCCTCCACTGCTGTGATAGCATCAAGCCTGAGATTAGAGCAGTTTATTGGGCTGCACAAACAATGTCAGCAATGGGATATTTCACAGCTCACGGGGCACTTTGCTAATGCTCTCACGCTGCAATAATTTACATCGTTGTGCAAATACCAGAAGTGCTTCACATCAGTGAGAACTGACAAACCAAGATAACCCATAAATCACAGGCCATTTATAGCCCACTTGTTTTGTTTAATGTATCATGTTTTCAGTGCCTGTTGAAGGAGGTGGACTAACATCTACAGAATGGAAAACCAGAAAAAAAGACCCAGCAAGAGCAGCCAGAGTGTAAACCTCTATGTTCAGCCTCTGTTTTTATGTACAGGCACCTTTTGTAGAAGTAATTCAATCTTCATGAACATTTAGTCTGTGACTCTACAGTACCCACTACTAGGATATATGTTAAAACCTGGAGAGATTCAAAGGGGGAGGGACATTTTGTTTTGTCTCTTCATCCTAACTTGATCAGAAAGTGTGCTTTAATTTTCCATGCAAGTTCACATACAAAAATGACAAAAAAGCCACACCTAACAAAGGCAGCCAGACAGTATTAATATATAATAAGTAGAACAGAACTAGGCAGGAAAAAGTTTTCTCATCTCAGAAGAATTTTCAAACATATCTCCTGACTTGAATTTTGATAGAGCTGACATTTTCATAAACTACGCATCTGAAAACAAATATGTGGTCAATCCAAAAGTTTTGTTTATTATTACTATTATTATTTTATTTTTTTGAAATGCTATGCTTTTCTTTCAACATTTATTTGCTATGCATTTAATTCCTGTCTGAAAACTCATTCAGAATATTTATTAATTCAAAAAAAAATACTGAAAAAAAACAATATATTTTCCTGTTTATTTATTTATTTATTCTACAGTAAATCTGTCTAATATAAATAATCCATCCTCACAGTTTCGGATTTTACATTATTTCCACAAACACAATATAATTTCCTGCCACACAAAGTATTTCATCAAAGATTATTGACCCCAGCAGTTCTACTGATAAATTTCCCCTTAAAATTCCTTTTAAAGGAGAGAAATGAATGTCATGTGTTTCTGAAGAAAATAATAATAATAATAATAATAATAATAATAATTTCATATACAGATAAAAATGATACACTGTATATGTCCATTTTTCCTGTAATTATCCACTAACAGTACAGCTCACGTGCAGTCAGTTTCACAGCAGAACCGATTCTGGCTCTCCCAGCAACCTGAGCACTATCAAGCAATGCAGCAGCAGTGCTGAAAGACAACTGTTGCTATGGTGTTACAGTTCCTAGGAAATATGATGCAGCTCTTTTTTCCTCTTTCTTTTTTTTTTTTTCTTTTTCAGCCAAGGACACATTTCTTGCCCCTGACTTGGATAGCATCAATTACAGAGACAAAAGAGTTCTGTATGCTGGACCAGCCTAAAAGGTCCACTTGATTTCTACGAAAGAGCTTCTGTCTCTCATCATTGCCCAGAAAAGCCATGTATAGCTTTCACAGATTGTTCCTGAAATAGGAATAACTTCCATGGTAAACTGGGCAGTTTTGAAATGATTTCCTCATCAGGGATATTCACGTCCAAAATGTGTGGACCTCATTTCCTGATTGCTTTGATACACATCCGTTTCTCTTGCTATGGTTGACATGCAGTTCTCCAGAGAGAGGAGGGGAGCAGAGGAAACTTTCCCAGCTTCTAGTCATCCTGAAATCAGAATTTCTCATCAATTCAAGGCTTGCTTTCACTCTTTTCACTCTCAACACCTGCAGCCAGAAACTCTCCTTACAGAGGTGAAAGCTGCTCAGCACTCATTTCAATTTCCACTGGTCTATCACAGTGTTTGCATTGGCAAAGGCGGATAATGTCTGCCAAGGAAATGTCTTATGATCACATGCAAGGACAGAAGATGCAGGGGACCCATCTAGTGGAAACAGGCAAAAATCAAAAGCTTTTCTTTTTCCAGTATACATGAAAAAGAAGATAATAATCACACAGATTATTATCTATCATAACTTTTCTATCATGACTAACTAATTTCTATCATAAATAACATGCCTCTAAGAAAGTCGCTTCTCTGGGCTTTAGCCCAGTCTTCCTCCAGAAAACCCTGCAGGGCAAGACAAGGCATGAGTCAGGCACTCCCAGGTGGAGCCCCTATTAGTTGGAAACTGCAAAGAAAAAAAAAAAAACACTCCTAAACAAAACATAAAAAAGCCATTCAAACCTAAAACAACTTACATAGGTACCCACATCTGTGAACTGGAAATCACTCTTGCCTCTGGTAAACATGACCAAAATCTGACAATGCTGATGAATGATGTTCTTAAATCAATACCCCCATCTGTATGCTAGCAACTGTTTCAAAAGCAACATCACTGAAGTTCACATTATCATCTTGCCTGGTGTAAGGGACAAAAATCTTGTAGGTAGTTCTGAATCGTTTTTTATTAAGAAAAAGGTAGAGCCCTCTGATAGCTGTTCTCAAACTGAACTGTCAGGTTGGAGTTGCACCAGAGAGCAGTCCCTGCTCATATAGCCTCCCTCCACTGCAACCAACTCCTTTTTGTGGATGATATCTATTGTAAGGGGTACAGCACAAAGAGGCCTGGAATGATTCCCAGCAAGTGCAGCCTCATTTCTAAAGACAGGTATATGATGGGGAAGAGAAGAGAACCTGTACTTAAAATACCAGGTCTCTACTAACTCCTCACAACCCAGCTGTTACACCACAGCTATATGGTGTGTGTCTGTGCTCACACTATACGCATGCAGTTTTTGTAGAAATACCTGGACTGACAAAACATGGGGCCTCATCAATTCAGAAAAAAAATCCCATAAATCCCAGTGCTCTGATAGGAGCTGATTTCATCTCACCTCCGCTTGTCTATTTGCAGTTTTTCTGACTTAGTTCATGACATGGAATACAAGACAGTAATTTGGGATGATCTTGTAGTCAGCATAAAAATGCTAATCAGGCTGTAATGTTATTACTAAAGAAAATAGCATTAAAGAGTAGCAAATAAAACATTGAGCAATCTGTGAAGTAGTCCCATGAGGATGATTCTCACACTTGTCCCAATCTACATTAAATTATTCTTTGCTTCTAAAAGATTTTGTTTCTTTGAGGGTATAAGGTCATCTTCTAAAGTCTGCAGCAAGCTGAAACACTAGGAAACAAGCTCACACATACATGAGTGTTAGTAATCATGAACACTATAAAAGACAGATGTTTCTTCGTTTCAGCTTTGAGAAACACTTAAATCAAAAACTCATACTCCATATAAAACTCCCACCCTTTTAGTTTAGCCTGTGACAGCCTTTACCTTGCAAGTGTCACTAATAATGTGGACAAAGATCTGACAGATTCAGCAGTTACACCCATCTAAAATATTATAGTCTGTTGTCTTACCCTACTTCTAACTCATAAAAGAAGTTAGTACATTGCTCAACAATTTTATTTTGGAAACTCATAGGCAACCGGATGGCCTGAGAAATGATCCTGGAAACACACCAGAACAGACTTCAAATGTATATTTTTCTTTTATGATGTTGTTAATAACAAGAAAACGAGTGACATCTAACTCCTCAGTTTAAAAATAACTGCACAGGAAAATGAAAATATATTATTATAATGGGATGGTACTTTTCATCTCTGGAGGATCTGGAAAAAGTCAGTTGAAGCTGAAAGGTTTGTTTGGAAGACTGTACTCTAAAAATTGTTAACTGTATCTAGATCAGAAAACCTATTTATTTATGTAATATTAACAAGCAACCATCTCACACAGCACAGCAATCCATCAAAAAGCTAAATGGTCAATAGAGACAGAAAATATCAATGGATCATATCAGAGCATCTGTCTGGGCAGCACAGATCTGTCTCTGCTCAGCATCCAGGTATTCCCTTCTTTTCTCTGAATTCTGCACTCTTGTTGCTGTTATTCCTTATTCATCTCTCCATCAGTTGATCCCTCGTCTTCTCCTTTGCAGAAGGTGTGCCTCTGGTTTTGTCCGGAGAAGGGACATTTTGGGGGAGTGCTAATGTAAACTTTTCTTATTTACATAGTGCAGAATATTCTTACCTGTTTGCCTTTAGAGGCAGCACATCACAGGGCTGAGTTCAACTACTTAAATCTACATTTGTCATAGATTAAAAGGGTTGTTTGTATACCAAATTAATGTTGACAATGTAGCCGTGAAGGAATAATTTCATTTTCTAAACTCCTTTTGAATCCTCTGTTCTGAAATGCAATTACTTAAAAAAAAAAAAAAAAAAAAAAAAAAAAAAAAAAAAAAAAGCTAGTTTTGAACCAAAAAACAGTTTTACAGCCTTAAGAAATGAAGCCTGCAGTCTTATACTTTGCATCTTAGAGTGTGCATTATTGGTAGAATTCAGAATATGATATTTTGCATGTGTTTAAATAGTGTAAACATTTTATAAAACCAGTTATTTGTTTACCAGTGGAAATGTAAGACATGACAACTGTATTTTGCCCTAAGTCTTAGCATAAGAACAAGTGATATTTTTGTGTCTCTTCTGGCCAGCTTGCCATCTAAGAGCAGCATTACTATCACAAAGACAATTACAATGACGTATGATTTTTGCCCTGTTTACCAAGCTGCCTGAGATCTGCCATGAGTTGATCAGCTGCTAGCTTGGCCTGAAATCTACTCTCCAACCCTTCTACA